AATTGTGTGATGTCTGCACATTAATTGTGTGATGTCGGCACATTAATTGTGTGATGTCTGCACATTAATTGTGTGATGTCGGCACATTAATTGTGTGATGTCGGCACATTAATTGTGTGATGTCTGCACATTAATTGTGTGATGTCGGCACATTAATGGTGTGATGGCGGCACATTAATTGTGTGATGTCGGCACATTAATTGATGTCGGCATATTAATGGTGTGCTGTCGGCACATTAATTGTGTGATGTCGGCATTTTAACTGTGTGATGTCGGCACATTAATGGTGTGATGTCGGCACATTAATTGTGTGATGTCGGCACATTAATTGTGTTATGTCGGCACATTAATGGTTTGATGTCGGCACATTAATTGTATGATGTCGGCACATTAATTGTGTAATGTCGGCACATTAATGGTGTGATGGCCGCATATTACAAGTATGATTTTTGGCTCATTAAGATGTGTCTGATGTAGGTTACTGGGCCTGAAAGACAAGACTCGGTATATTTGGCATCCCTCCAAGTACAAAGTTCTGTCTGGGCAATGATTTATACACGTAGTTTTGGAAAATTGGATGTAACAAATGTTGAGTTTTACATCACGCCAAGCTTTTTTGAATGCATTTCTTTGAACATCTTGATAACGATTCCGAATAATTTAACGATTTATTTGATAGAGCAGATAGAATATTAATTGGCTTCTGACCTCATCGTCTTGGTAACCCAACACGGCCTAACTTGTCAGACAGAACTCTGTAATAATATGGTCTCTTTTAAGCGCAAACAGGCTATCCCGAAAAAAAATGATGTTTTGAAAAAATCGATGGTAAAGTTTTTGCCCCTAAAGAGCATGGTCTATATAGCCAAACAAATATACTTTCAAATGAAACCAAACTTCTCCTATAGGTAAGGCAATGCACACTTTTGGTGTAGGTCAAGATTTCTGGAAACCCCCCGAAATCTGAGTTTACCCGCTTGTCCTTAAAAGCGACCAATTCTAGGGTAGCCATAATTTGTTTGAAGTAGGCTACTCTATCTTAACACGTTGATGCATCATCCTTGGCTGAAGCAAACAATGGATGAACGATGGTTGAGAGTAGGCAAAGATCTTCCATAACAAGATAGTTCGCTCTGCCTAAAAAAGTGTCGCGGAAATCCGCGCATTGCTTCAGTTGATGCCTCTATAAATAAATCATTGATGGTCAAGGTCAAGGTAATTTTGAAGCTCTCTTTCGTTTCTCCTGAAGAAGAATAGGAACAGCACAGCTTGTTCTTTTCGCTTTTGTTGTTTTTCACATGAGTCAAAACAAAACAAAACAAAAATAATAAAAACCGTGATGAAGCACAGCACTGCGCCATGCAGTCACGTGACTGAAGTTTTCATCAAATATTTAGAGCACAAAAAAACGAGATGGGCTCTAGACGAGAGAATGAAGTCAATAGAAATGTTGGCGCAAACTTCCATCCGGATGTGTTCGTCGGATTTTGCAGACAATACAATATTATGTACTTCTTTTCTCAATATGGACTCGGAATTGTGAAACTTCCGTCTCTCGACTCGGTATTGTGAAACTTCCGTCTCTCGACTCGGTATTGTGAAACTTGTGTCTATCGACTCGGTATTGTGCAACTTCCGTTTCTCGACTCGGTATTGTGCAACTTCCGTTTCTCGACTCGGTATTGTACAATTTCGTTTCTAATTTAAAGTGCTCTACCTCGCAAAAATCGATTTTTCTAAATAATATAATTTTAAAAAGGTTATTAATCGGGTAGCTTCCCCCTAGTAACCTTCTATACAACTTCCTCTTCTTTTAAGTTACTTTTTTTCATGTCTATTCAGCTGTCCCCAAAACTGCATTAGTCGTTTCCTGATTGTTTTAACGGTGAGCGTCCCACGTGGGCCTCATCAACCACTATCTCATTAATTGATTTCTTTTCCTTCCACGATGTTCTCAGCAGTCTCCTTTTAGTTTAGTTTTAGTAGAGGTTTCACGGCGCTCACAACTAAGAAACCACATTTCTGTTGCTTCTATTTTATGTTCACTGTCTTTAGTGAATGTCCAGTATTCACTGCCATAATATAGAAGGGTTGACCAAACATAGCATTTCAGAACTTTCATTTTGGTAGTCATAGAGATGTTTCTATTTTTCAGGATTGGGCTCATTTTAATGAAACTAGCCTTATCCATTGTAGTTCTCCTTTTTATTTCTGTTGCACTTTTAGCATCAGATGTTATTATATACCCTAGATATTTAAACTGTTATACTTATTTGATCTTTTCACCTTCGCTAAAGAGATTGCAAATAGGATTTGCTGCTTTCTTGTAATCAATACCTCTAATCTTTGCATTTCAAAAGCCTTAAAACTCTTTCCAAAATCGCATTATACAAGCAGACTATGAGACTATAACATCTTTTCCCCCAAAGCCATGCTATTTATAGTTTTCTTTTTACATTTTTTTTTCTTTCCCCATGTTTTCCAGCAGGGTGCAAATTGCGTCGTTCCAAATGATATACCCCAAGCCAATGTACGGTGTACAGAATGTCTCTTCTCCGGCTTCTCCATTACCTGGTGCGTCAAATCTGGGGCTAACATTACGGCTCCCTCAACTACTACTACTACTACTACTACTATTACTACTACTACTACTACTACTACTACTACTATTACTACTGCTGCTGCTGCTGCTGCTGCT